CCCCCCATTAGAAAATAATTTCCCCCAAGTTAAATATTGTTATTTTTAGGTTTTTTTTTTCGCTGATTTGGGGAAAATAAAATATTTTTTAGTGTGTACACCCCTGAGATAGTGGGTACCAAGTAGAAGGGGGGGGGGGGCCCTAGGATTCTGATACCTTCTAAACTCTAAAACAAAAACCTACCTTGTATGAATGGTGGTAAGGTAGGTACCAAGAGGAGACCACTTTACGTAGGATTCTGTCCAACCTTCTCGGGCAGAAACCTAGATTATATGGGTTTCTTTTATATAACTATATTTCCCTCCAAACTTAACCCCCCGGTCAGGCTAACGTAGGTTTACCCAAAATAGTCTTGGGGGGGGGGAGTTCAAGGGACCCCCTCACACTCCAAAGTGGTTTAAATCGTGGACATATGAAAAAAATAGATTGGCTTAAAACTCTTATATCAGACAGCTGAATTAAAGGGAGTGGCCGGCTATGTAAGGTAGTTGAACTGAGTATACAGTCTTGTGGAAAGCTTCTTTCGGATTCATTTGAGACATTAAACTTTTTAAAGATCTGTAAATCCTGAGTTTGAGCACAAATTCGATGTTCAAAACTCGTACTTTGGGGATGGATACGCTTTCAGAATTAGTTTTTTTAAATTATTAAATAAAGACATCATAAAATGTAAAAAAGTTCTACAATAAACTACAGACGTCCTGTATAAGGACATGATTAGGAACTAAAAATTAATCTTATCATCGAAAATAAGTAATCTTGTTCAACTATTAGTTTCCATTATCTCATTATTCTGGTTTCTCATTATTCACAAAGATTTTCGCAGATTTTCTAGAATTATTGTTGAAAAGACGACATTTGAAGAATTTGAAGAAATCTGCGAATAAATGCAAAGAATTAAATTATAAATTCAATATAATAATGAAAACGAAATAATCGATTTTAGCATTGATTTATTGACAATTTTTTTTGACAAATATGTTCCTAACCATCTAATTAGATCACTGTATAATTTTTACTTTATTTTCTGTTGTCGTTATTTTAAACCACTGTGCCCCTCTCTATTTCCTTATTGTGACACAAATCTATAATATTTGATACATTTATGGAAAGCCCGCAGGCTCTACTTTACTAATCTGCAAAAAATTGGCTACTTTGCAAAATCATATTTGTTGCATTATCATGTTATTAAATTTATTTTATATTTTTAGAAAAACTGGAACTTTGCAAATTTTCTTTTGCAAAAAAGTAAAATAATAAAGGGTTGCCAACATCGAAAAACTTTATTTACTGAGACCCCCCCCCCCCCCGTACATTTATAGATTTACCTCTACAGGATCAGGGATATTGTTGGTAAATATGGAAACCATAGATCCTCCATTATGGATAACACTGAATTATAAATCAATTAATTCAGTCGAGTAATTTGGTCGTTTTGACAGGTTCAAAAATTATATCTTAACATATCAGACATGTTTACAGAAGGGTGTATATTTTCTTGGAAATAATTTCCCTCCCCCCATGTCAGTTATTTATAAAAAAGTTTTTATGCGCTGAATTGGGAAAAATAAACGAATTTTTTAGTAAAAAGTAAAAACTCAGATTAAACACTTGCATTTAGATGAACACTTATCAATTTTTAGAATTGGGGAAAACTAATATTTTTAAGGGTGAATAATTTGAGGGTAAAACTTAAACATTTATGAGGATGATATATTTCGAGGCGGGATTAAAATAAGACCCATTTACACAGATGGACTAGGAAAGAAGACGAACAAAGAGGCACAATTCATGAGTAGAGGATAAACTTGTACAGGGACTCTCATCGTAATGTAAAGTGGCCCTTCATGCAAAGATGACAATGCCCGAATCACAACGGTACCCATGCAACCTTTATCTTCTCAATAAGGTAGAAGATTGTGATCGTTTTTCTAGGTTTAAAAGTATTATATTCTGATAATGCATTTCTGTTTCCTGCAAGTCACTTTTATTTGAAAATATTTTTTTTAACATCAATATCTAATTCAAATTTAAGAAGACAGTTCTGATTTGCATGGAGGGTCACTTAGAATTACACTTCCAGTCCCGTATCTTTTTTTTTGACAGTAAAATACCTGAACTGATCAGCTGCATCTGGTTCAAGAAGCCAGCTCCTTAGGTTACCTTGGTCTACGTACTCCTATAGTATACCCAAGCTGATTTAAGGAATTCACAAAAGGGGTAAAATGTTTTTTTTTAGTTGCGGTGAGGGGGGGGGGATTTTCAATAGGATGGGTGGTGTAGACTGTAGATTGTAGCTATAACAAACAAGATTTTTTGCTCTTGAGGATTAATAAGTTCATGGAGAAATATATCTTTGAGGCAGTGCTTAGGATCAATTCAATTTAAATGCGGATCCGGATCCTGGATCCGCACTGGAAATGGATCCAGATCCGGATCCAGGTCATTTCTTAAAAAGTTTTTTTTTTTTTGCAGTTTTTGGTTGATGTTTTACCCCTTGGATCCGGATCCGTGGATCCGCATTTTTTTGCGGATCCGGGAAGCCAACTTTGAGGAGAGGGTAAAATGGGAATTTTACAGAAAAATTACAATAATTTTAAAAAATTGATGATAATTGCAATACCTTCGGTGTTGGTTCCTCCCACTCTTCAGTAATCTTATCATACTTCTCAAAATCTAAACAAATATTATATTTTCTTTGTCTTATTAAAGAGCATGGATCAAATTAGGGAGGAAATGAAAACTTACAAAAAATATCATTATTCAAATACCTCTTATGTCTTCTTGTTTTATGGCACGTTAAGGATAGTTAAAAGTACGAAATCTGTCTAGATCAGTAATCCTTTGGGTGAGTAAGAATAAGATAAAAAATAGATCTGAAGAAATCACCGGATCTAGCGGATTGCTAGTAGGAGAGAGCACATGCATTTTACTAACCCATTGACATCTGATCATTCTAAACTAGGGTTACCATTTTTTCCGGCTAAGAATGATAAACCATTAATATTTTCGGAAATAAAGGGCAGAACCTTTCTTAACTGATTTTCAAATAAATCACCCCCTATATGCTCAACAGAGCTCCGTTGAAACAAGTTTACGGAGGCCGAATTTATAGAATTTAGACCGCTGTGGTTTAAAGAGATGCGGCTCAAATATGGTTGGTTCCACATAAAATTGTATTCAATGTTTCAAGATTTAAGCCGGCGCTCAATTGAAGCCGGGTTTTGGCGGATTTCAGACGCGACTCAAATTTATTAAATTCGGACTCGGGACGATTATTTCTTTTGAAATGGATCCGAAATTATCGTCCCGTAAACACTATTCAGGATGTCACACCTAGCTCTGTGTAGCATCTAGGTAGTAGATTTGGTCATAGTTTGGTTCAGAAAGGGTTCCTCTCCTATGTTTCTAAAGCTTTAATTGGTTTATCATTCTTACCAGCTTCTAGAAAGGTTCAGTATGGTCTTTGCAGCTCTAAAATGATCCTGAAGAATTCAAGAAATTGGAAACCCTATTCTAAGCGTAGTATGGCTGGATGAGTCACCAAAACTAACAACAACAAAGAAGATCAGGTATGTTTCGACATATTTTCTGTTGTTTTTGATCTTTCATTTAAAATCGTCAAAACAAATATAATAAAATGCTAAATATACTTTTTCATTGAAATCAGGCTTCATATATTAGCTTAATATACTCAAATGAAATATATACACAACCACAAAATCTTTAATAAGCAAAATCAAATACGCAAAATGTTAATTTAACGAATGAAAATCGGTTCTGAAGTTCAAACTCCTATTAGACACCACAGTTTAGATGGTTTTGAGCTCAACTGAATGAATTACCTGAGAATAAGTTGACTAGGAAAGTATGCTGTTTGTCAAGCTTGTAGTTGTCCATACCAGCTACAGCCTTCTCAGCATTATCAGGGGAACTGTATTCAAGGAAGATGTATCCTATACAACCAGGGGTGAATATTTTCGTTAAATAATTAGCACCCCCCCCCCCTAAGTTAGGAAGTTCGGCACATTTTTCAGGTTTATATCTCACTGAATATAATGATTTTTAGGTGTAAATAAATATTTTTTTTGGGAAATAGTATCGAAAAGGACATAAAAACTTGCCTGAAGATGTCCAATTTTTCAATTTCCACCAAATTCTTTCAATTTCGATGTGTACTGCAGTGATTTTCACTACTCTGACCGGAGGAAAAGTGGGTTTTAGTAGAGAGTGTTATTTTTCAACAACATATTTACCCCCCACCTTACCTTTAGTTTGACCTTCGTCATCGAGAGGATAATGTTCATTCACCAGTTTCCCGAACTTCCCGAAGGTTTTCCTGATCACGTTCTTCAACTTGTCGACCCTGTCGGCTCCGACAACAGGGACTCCGTCGACAACAATAACAGAATCAACGCCGTCGGATTCACGGGGTTTCTGTCTGAGTACATCAGGCATCAACTCCTAATCATGAATCAGTATGAAAATATATTATGTATTAAATAAAAAGTAGAATATGTGTGTGTGTATGTTCATATAGCCGCGCCGGCCAAACCGTAATCCTTCAGAAAATATATGTTCATTGAGCCGTTCCTTACCGTGACACTTAAGAAGTCAAGAAAATCTATTTTTACCCCCCCCCCCCCTGGTTAACAATATTTATTGGCATATGCATCAGATAACCTCTTCCCATGCAGGAAGTAGTTTTACGCAAAGTATTAACGGATTTTAACATTTTCTCGGGCAGCTCAGGATAAAAATAAAAATACAGTTCAAACAAATATTTTCACGGATTTAAAAATTTTCTCGGACAAGTGGTAACAACAACAAAAATGGACATTGAAAAATTCGAAATTTTATTTTTCATGTCATTAAAGTATCTAATGCAACCTGTGAAACTATCGAAATAATGGGGGAAATAAAAAATTAAAGGAAGAAAAAAGGAATCGTAGATCTTCAGACAACATTTTAGTACGCAAATCTCAAAAGACGGTAAACTCGTGAACAATATTTTTTCGAATATTAAATATTTTTACTTTACCATGGGTTCCCTTGACCAATTTTGCTAACAAAACATCCCTCGCTAGGCTCTGTATGTTTTGTAAGCACAATTGGTCTTGGTGAAATAAAATTCCTCTAACTTCACAGGAAAGTATTTGTAAATAATAAATTTTACTTACAAGTTTGAATCTAGTTATAGACTATTAAAGAACGAAGAATGTTTATGGATCGGTTTAATCGGTTGCAAAGCTGGTTACCTCGTCCGTAACATCGTCTACGAAACCTTCAGGATCGTTAAAGTCAGGTTCCTCCCCATAATCCATTATTTCTTCGTCATCGTCGAACTCTTCGGGATTCTTTTTCCGCGCCATTTCTTATTCTGGAAATAAGGTTTCTTTATATAAGGGTTGCCCGACAAGGATTTGTTACAATTAGTTCTGGTCTGTCCTAAATAACATTTTTGTTTCACTAGGACAGACCCCATTTACCCCAAGGAAGTATAAAGTAGTGTCTAGAAGAGACCTTGATTTACAAATTTATACATCACTGAATAGATAAAGAACATAAGTGATATATATATATCCGAAAGTATAAGAATTTTGGATCCACTTTAATGCTTGCCAATATATTCTAAATAAATATTATTAGGGCACAGAAGTTAGGCTTGGGAAAGGCCTTAAAGTTGGGTTTATTCTTTCAAAGCCAGCCTATCGTTCGGCGTTCCTTTCTTCAGTCTTCACCCACCATCATCCACATGTCAACATTATAGAACAATGCCGCAATAGAAATTCTAGAATGTGATTCTATTACAAGTCGTCTTCTTTCGCAGAATTTTTTTTATTTTATAACGTTTATTAACATTTTACATTAAATTTGATCTCACAGGGCTGGGAGTGGCACGCGCCTGTCTGCCACCCCCCTCCTAGTTTTAGCCCTTGAACTCATTTATTTATGTATGTGAGGCCGAATGAGTAATTAACATGTTTTATTGAACTGAAGTGTGGATATATAAAAACAAAACAATTAGTATAGTTGAAATGTTGACATTTTAGAAGAACATTTATTGCTTCTAGGTGTAACAGGGCCATACGAGAGCATTTGTGTAGGAGGGGGGGGGGGCACATTTTACGCACGTCAGCGCGCAAAAAGAACTTTGTGCCCCCCCCCCCATTAAAACATCCTTTTTTGAAAAAAATTATACCTATTTAACAATGTTAACTATTCGATCATATACACAGTTCCATATTACAAGCATTATAATAAATTATTTATGTAATTTTCTTAAGAGGGGGGGGGGGCACAATGTTGCCAAGGGGGGGGCACAAAATCAGGCAATTCCTTTTAAATACTGTCACACTGTGGTATAGGCTTCAAAGGATGAAAAATATAGATGGAAATGTTTATAGAGTGGCATTTCCAATGTACCTTTGAAACCTTCATTATGCATCGTTTGCATTGTTTCTGAAGCAAGAAATGCGCGAGTCATTTTTGTAGAGAAACCACAAATAAAAATATTCAGTTTTCAAAATGGGGAAACATGGATTTCGATTTTTAATGCAATACTTGATTAGACAAAGCTTTGAAGGGTATTGTTGTGAATCAGACTATACTATTTTATTTCTTTACTTAATCTTTTAGTTTGTGTGAGTGCAATGCAATGCAATGTAGAATGTAGATTGCCTGAGGAAGGGAAATGCAAGCAGATGTAATAGTAAAAGAGCCCCCCCCCCCATGAGTTTAGCTTATTAGCTCCATGAGTAGCTGATATTACCATTTCATGATTTAATCCTTCAGCAGAAACTTATGTTAATGCATTCAATTGATAAAAACTATAGCCCAGTATCTTTTGGAATTGTTTTTGTAAAAAACTCTGTATTGACTGTGAACCTGTATAATTTAAGAAACTCTGATGAATATTTTATCCCAAGAGTTGATAGTTAATCTTTACGTCGATTTCCTTTCTTTGATTTGCCTAAATGTTGGAACAGTTTATCTCTAAATAATCCTGAAATTTCAAGTATTACTAATAAACTTTCTTTTAAATCTACGATTAAAAATCATTTGCTGTCAAAGAGTGACAATTTTATTTGCAACAAACTATTTTGCTGTAACTGCATATACATAATTTTTCTTTCTATGACAATGGATTTTTAAGTCAAGCAATTTGCATTTTTTAAATCCTTCTTATAAAAATCAGCGCGCTGGCATTGTTTTTTTTGGAAAAGGTATTGTTAATGGGTGGACCTTAAACTTTTGCTAAATTTTTTTCCAGCGCAAAAAAAATTAGGAATGCAATAGTTCCTGGCGCCTCTGTTTCTGTTTTCTGCCTACTGTCTCAAATCAAGAACCAAATTTATAACATGTTAATTGAGCAAATCTGACCCTGTTCCTCCGTCTTCTCCAAATCCAGTCCCACGACGCATCACATCAATTCAGTTCTAATTGATACCACGGTAAACTGCCAGGAGATCAACCTGAAAACAGCTCTGCTATGGCTGCTCTACTTCCGTTGATAATTAATAGAAATCATATAGATATGTACTTTTATGCATCAACCTGTCATATTTTCAACGGAAAAATAAATTATTAGATTAGATTAGATTAGATTGTAGGAAGAAGGAATAGTGAATTTAAGCTTGAGACTGTTATCTTCGTCCAATTCTTGTTCTGTTTCCGATCAGGAGGCAGTGTTTTTGGCCTTGGTACGATTGTTGTCTGGGGTCACCACTTTAGAAGTACATTTATTGCGTCTAGTTGTAAATACATGATAAATAACGAGTGTATAAAATTAGAGGAAGTTGAGTATGGTCTTCTCTGGTTCCAGGATCCGACAATATACTGATTTGCGGATTGCATAATTATTTTTTTTATTCTAATATGAATATACATTACAACAAATATGAAATAAGTTCATTTGTTTTTTAGGGTCAATTACGAAAGATAAGTAAAAATCTATATTTATAAGATATCTTAAAATAAGTTTAAGTTTCACCCTTTAAAATTATACTACATGGTCTAAAAATATTTTAATACATACAATAAATAATATCAATAAAAATATTGATACCTTTATAACTATCCGATCATATACACATTTCCATATTACAAGTGTTAATAAATTATTTATGTAATTTAAATTTAAAATTTAAAAATAGAGATGGAAACGTTTCTAAAAATATCTATATTTTCATAGGATTGATACATATTGTTTTATAAATTATGATATCATATGCGTATTTACACTGAAGGCAGTATTGATTAAAGCTTTTGTTAATGAAACTTTTTAGCTAAAGACAAAAGTGAGATTTTAAGGTATTTTTTTATAGGATGTAATTATACTTAAATGGAATACATGCTTAATTTCAAGTGACCCTCCATTTATAGCGTGGCATGTCCAATGTACCTTTGAAACATTCATTTCTCCATCGTTTCTGAAGCAAGAAATGTGCGAATTACTTTTTTAGAGAAACCACAAATAAAAATATTCAGTTTTCAGGATGGGAAACGTGGATGTTCAATGCAATACTTGATTTGACAAAGTTTTGAAGGGTATTGTTGTGAATCAGAATATAATATTCAATTTCTTTACTTAATCTTTTAGTTTGTGTGAGTGCAATGCAATGCAATGTAGAATGTAGTTTGCCTGAGGAAGGAAAATGCAAGCAGATGTAATATAAAGAGACCCCCCCCATGGATGCGCCCCCTCAGCAGGCTGCAGGAATAAAGAAACTCTTTTATGTATATTTAGAAAAACGTAAAATTTTCCTAATTATACGATTTTCGAAGTGCTCTAATTTTGTATAGCATTTGTTAACAGTTAGAATACCATGATGAATTCTGCACATTGCACAGTTTGTCTGCAATATTGTTGCAGAGGGGAGGGGGGGAGGCGGGGGATAAAAAGGGAGATATTTAGCATAAATTACAACCCTGTGGGTTTGAATAAAGAACTTCATGAATATTTAATTAGGGATCGGAATAATAATGAAACGGTAATAGTTTACCAAGCTTAATATTCGGTAATTATGAAAGTTTAGTTCTATGATTCATATCGTAAAACTTCTAAATGAATACAGTGCATTCCAAACCTAGGAAATGTAAAGTTTTATGAAGTGTATTTCTCAGTGAAATTAGACCGCTGTGCTCTAGGAAGAGTATTGTTTATTGAAATTAGACCGCAGTGTTCTAGGAAGTGTATTCTTTAGTGAAATTAGACCGCTGTGCTCTAGGAAGAGTATTATTTACTGAAATTATAGACCACAGTAATCTAGGAAGTGTATTTGTACACTGAAATTAGATTAGAGTAGACTAGGAAATTAGATCATAAGTGAAGTTTAGGAAGTGTTCACTGAAATTCGATCAGTGTGCTTTAAAGGGAGGGACCGGCTATGTAACATATTTGAAGTTTTGAACTGAGAATGCAGTATTGAACAGAGAAAAACTTTAGAAATCATTTTATACCAATGAGACATTTTTACACTTTTTGAATAAGAGCGTAAAGTCATTTGTAATATTTCACCAGTTGTTTCAGTCAGCAGAAGAAACGTTTCTTATAATTATTTAATAATCCGGACAAAGCACATAAAGAATATATATTATATTTTATATACTAATTTGCTGCTTAGTAACATAATTAAAATAGAAATGATCGATGAAGGCCATTGTAGAACCGTAAAATTGATTATTTTAGTATCATCTAAACCTTTGCTCTTTCTTTATTATAATTGCAGATTTTTTTTAAATGTCGTCTTCACAATTTAAAAAAATCCTCCAACAAGCGACCCTGGCTGAATTTGCATAAACCTGCGAGATTTTAAAAATGAATTTTAATAACTTATTTTCATTGATATTAGTTGATTATTTTTCCCAATCTGTTACTAGATGACATTAGTTTGAAAAATGTTATGTTTTACATGTTTTGTCCATGTTAATTAAAAATTGAAAAAAAAACATTTCTTCACTTCTGGCTGAAACAATAGGTGAAATATTACAAAAGATTTAACGCCCTTTTTAGACTTTTTAGCTTACTAAACATCGTTCAAATGTGCTGANGTGGATGAATCATTTTTCTCTAAAATGCCGTTTTAACCTTCAAAAATATGTTTAATATTCGAAAATGTGCTCCAAAGATATTAATTGCGTTTTAACCCACAAAACTTCGTTTTATTCTACCACAATGTGTGACCAGCAGGTACAATGTCCATAAATGGGGGGGGGGGACACCCTGTAAATCACAAAAATATCTTATTGGTATCAAATGAATCCTAATGTTATTCTCTACACTATTGCACTTTCAGCTTAACTGTGTTACATAGCCGGTCTCTTCCTTTAAGAGGGGTCTAGTCTAGTTTGCAGCAACTAGATCAGCGTCCTCACTGTGAACTAAAGGTTGCAAAAATCAA